GGAGAAAGAGAAATGGTCTAAGTAACAGCATGTTGTTCATTTGGGGTAGAGCACATTCAAGAGATAAAGGAAAGATGCCAGATCCTTAACAGACTTGGAGCTGGCTTGAAGTGTCACTCAGTGTTTTAGTATATGTACACACACAAAACCATACATATTTTGCTACTGCAAAATGCTTTCTCTTGTATACTTGTCATTTTGACTTGATGGAAGTAAAAGTCAGTTCATTCTTTCTTGTTTCTGTCTGGGGGGTCATTTTCCGTAGAAGCTTCAGCCTACTTCCACAGAGGGAAAGGTGACAATATCTGGATAAAAGAAAGATTTCCTTATGTGTCTTTTTTAAAAAAAAAAAAAGATGTAAAAAATTGAGCAATCCCTGTAATCCTCACCCATATGAAATATTTAAAAATTATGATTCTTGAATCATGCAATGTCAAGTCATTTAATTCCTTCCTGATATCCGTGTAATATTTCTACCTGTTAGTGAGACAGTCCACTGTGAGACTACAAAGATAACATTTATATAACACAGTGCAGCAAAAATAACATCTATACAGCTGAACACAGCTCTTCAGAATATGAATCATTGTTAGAGAATAAAGATTATAGTCTGTGATAGACAAGTTGAAGGATAATCAATTAGTAGCAGCACAATTATCAGTAGCCTGTCTAGGAGAATCCAAGTTTTGCATTTGTTCCAGCTAGAATGGTCTGCTACAGACATTGCTCTCATCGTTCTCCTTTGTCTTTCTGGGTCCATAGGGACATACATGTACCTCATGACTGAAGAGCAGGAAAGAGGTGGGAAATAGGAAGTGACTGATCTTCATTTCCCCGTAGTCAAGGATCTGCAAGGCCTTGGAGACCAACTGCTGGTGAGTAATAACAAAGCTCAGTCAGAAAGTTCTCCACCCTTTTCTTGATTAATTTCATCTGATCATGTGAAATGCTGGCCTTAATGAGGTACACAACAATATTTAGTGGTATTGGAATTTCATGTAGAGTGTTGGGGGGAGTGAAGTGGCTTGTTCATACTCCTTGTTAAACGTTTTCAGTTTACTTTCTCTTGCCAGGTCCTAGCCAGCATCTCTGCTTCAACCCAAATCCCACTTGATTCTTTTACTCTAACCATTTTGAATGAGTTTTATCTGAAAAGTTATAGTTCCAGTGAGAACAAAAGACTTGGCGTGTCTCTGTGTATTTGGCTCAAAGTAAAAGTAGATCTGAGTTCTCACTTCAAAATTCCAAAAGAGATTTTGAATACTCCAAGGCTCATATTTGAATTTGGCTCTTGATATACACTGGAGAATATTTCAAAAGGGAAGCTTTTTATTACATATGTCACTATGAAAACAATAGAAGCTCAGCTACCCAAACTGACAAAGTTTGACTTACAATACAGTACTTAGCACTCTAAGTATGTGAATTTAAAGGCTATTCAACTGTTGCACTTTTAGACCAAACATACCTAAATCTTACTTTCTTTTTTAAGTTTTGGAATTTCCACAGCTTGTTTCTTGCCAGCAACAGGAGACTAATGTAAAAAGTAGGGACTTTTTGCTCTAGTGGCTTCTATTTATTTTTTAGGTGAACTTCTTGTTCCTTCTGTGAAGTGAAATAGACAATGCCCTTGAATAGAATAAGATAAGAAATTTGCTATTTTGTAGTCTATGCAAGTTATTATACTTCTGTATTATTTTACCTGGCAAGTTTTGTGCTGTCTGGATGCCTTCAGGCTAACCAAACACAGTGTCAGAGCTGGGGAGCTGGTGCCTGAGAAAAATAATGAAGGAAGTAGATGCATTTATTTTTATATACAGTATTTCAGAAATTCCAGAAAAGGGAAAGAAGCAGATGATAAAACTTTCTTAAGTTATTTCTTTTTTCCCTTTTTTTCAATAGATGACAAGCTAGATGTGGAGTACAATTGTAAGGTGTGATGTGGGTTACAGGGTAATGCGTTGGTGTTCTTTTTGTAGCTGGGAACAAAGTTACAATTCCTGAAACAGACACAACCCTTTAAATAGATCTGCATGTAGATCTTATCCTTCCCATCCAGAAATGAAAATTATAGAGAGTTAGTGAATCTCTCCTCCCCCTCTTGGGGGTTATGCAGAGGTTGTATTATTGTCGGGTGATAAGAAAACAGGTGGAGAGAGTTAGGGAAAGCAAAGGGTCAGGAAAGCGCTGGGAACCAAAAAGCCAGCAGGCACTGAGGAAGAAAAGACAGTGTATAGCTCCAATAGCAGGCTATTGAGTTTGCTGAGAACTAAAAATTTTGAGGCTGGCAGATCATTATCTACTATATGAGCCATATAGTCAGTAGGATTAATACATATCTTCCAGGTTCATATATTTTCAGTTACTTAATATGGTCATACTTGACCATATTAAAGGTGTTACCTTGGATGTGGTGCCTGTAGGGCATTCCTTCTTTGTTGGTGCAGATATGTTTTCCCTCCAAGAATAGTTCTCATTTGAGTTACAGCACACTCCTCTTGGTTTTATTCTTTAGGCTTGATCATACTGTGGAGGTATCAGACAATCTTTGCATAGGATGAAAGCTTTTCATCCCAGTTACTTCCATAAACCATCAGAAACTCTGTAAGAGGCTTTCTTATACTCAGATATCCAGTCCACATCCCAAGGAGATCTTTCATGAGATGAGTGAGGACTGCACTATGAATGGTATGAACTCGCTCTAATACCTCTATGATCTGAGGCTGAAGAATTTTTGAGTCAGACTCAGCTACATCTTCTCATCTGAATGCCATACCTTCCACAGAAGGATTCTGCCCTCTCGAGCTCATGGGACACAAAGATGCTTAGTAATAAACACGTTGCATGTGTTTCTGTGGTTGGGGCCCTGTATAGCAGTTATTATCCCAGCACTGTGTATTTTTAGCAGAAATCCCAAATGGTGATGGAGCATTTTATTGCTGATACAGCAAACAGAATGTTGAATTAGATGAGTTTCCTTCTACCTTTTTTTTGGTCTTAAATCTTTACCAAAGGAGAAAGATTACCCCCTTCTCCATAAGTCTTTGGCCATAAATCGCAAAACCAGTGGCAAAGGTTTTAAAAGACCAAATTCTGCATGAGATTTAGCCTTTCAGCTTTCCTCAAATAGCCTCTGTGAGACAGTGCAGTACATTAAAAATGCAGGAAGAGGGTTAGAACTGTTGGATAACTAACACCTGGCATAATGTGCATTTTTAGGGTATCAAGAACCTATGATCTCTTTTGTCTAGAGAAAATTAATTGAAGTCATCATATAGGTATTTAGCAGAGTTGAAGTATGAGTTAAAGCAAATGCATTGCACAGTTCTGAAGTGGGTTTCTTTTCAGAAAAGTCTGAAGTAAGTTTCAGTTTCCTGAAGGACATTTGTTTTTTCTGATGCCAGGCCAAAAATGATGTGTTTGCTATTTCCAAACTCCCTTCTAAAACACACAATTGTTTTATCTTTGTCATCAAAGCCTGAGAAAAGTCTCTTTTGATTGCTAGATATATTGGAAAACGTATATTTACATCCTAGTACTTAATTCTTTTAATCTTTTTTGCCTTTAGTAATGTTTTTGTAATATTTGTCACATTCCAGTCTTCATTATGCTCTGCATGTGTCAGAATTTTTTCCAGTTGATCCTGTAATACTTGATTCCACTGTGAATCTAGATGCACCCTCTATTTTCATCCCCAGCATCTTCCTCTGTGCCATTTAAATAAAAAGCTAGATTATCTGAACTCCTGAGGTCAACTGGTAAAACTTGTCAGCTGATCTCTATTTGTTTTCAGACAGAAGAGCCAGTTCTGAAAATAAGCAAACTTGATACTCACTTTACTATTTGCAGGATAGTAGGACCAAGAGTAAAGTACACATTCTTTTTAAATACATAGAAGGCTTACATTTGAAGTCAGGTAAAAAGCAAGTTTTAAGAAATTTTTAATTTTTTTTGGCAGATCTGTGCTTCCTTTAGTAGTATTTGTTGGCTAACCCTGCTTTTATACTGTCTGAGTTAAATTTGTCTGATCACTCAGCATAGTAGTCTCTCTGGTAAAGATCCAACTCCAGTAGAGTTAATGGCAGCTGTCCAGTTTAATTTACTGAGCGCAGGATCAGAGTTATTTCCTATTTCATGTTATCTGATTAAGGACTTGATTACAATTTCTCCAGCATGCGGATATGGCCTCCTATGTTTATATCTTTTTGTGTCTAGAAACTGATTTCCCAGAAAGGGAAATTTTCCCTTTTCTCCTTCAGCTTAGCATATGATTATTTAAGCAGTCAAAGCAGAAGAGTTTCATTTCTTACTTCTCTCTGCCTATGATTAAAATGTATTTATTTGCAACTTAGCTAAGAGATTACACCTTTCTTCAACAAAACGCTTTCCTGTGAAGTAAAATAACTTTCTGTAGATGTTGTTACCTACTCTGGATAGATTAGGGGTTAGATTTTGGTTAACAGTGCTTCCAGAATAGTACTCGTAAGTTCTGAGGCTTATAAGAATTTTTTTCTTTGTTCTCCTCCTCTAATAAAAACAGTGATGATGGTAATAAAAGTAATATGTTATGGGAGAATCCATTCTGAGTGTTAGTGAATTTCAGCTTTAGTGACTCTCGGTTAGGCATTGCTAGGTGCTTCAGATTTCCCTGTTTTATTGTCTTCCGGGTAATTCTTGGGTTGTCTGGTTTAGTTTTTCCATATTTCTGAATGTTCTTGTTACATTTTTAAGACATACTGTCTGCCTGAGATCTCAATTTTATCTTGCCACAATCATTTAATGAGTTTATGATACGTGTGTGAAAAAAGTGGTTGGTGCTCCTTATTTTACCTAGTGTAAGGTCTTTGACAGGGTCATAAGTGTATTTATTACAGCATGCTTCGGTATTTCTGTAGCAGCTTGTACTGTCCAGCTATCTTTTGATGAGGTTGCAAATGTAGGGGTAGCTGCAGTCAAGGAAAAGCAGAAAAAAATAGTGCCTGAAGAAGACACACTTCCTGTACGCCAGTGGGAGCCTTATATCCTCTGGAACTACTTTCACCTGAACATGGTGTTTTGGAGCTACCATTAGGTTATTATCTGTAAAATCTGCTTAACTCAAAAAGTATTAGGTTGATGTAGTGCCAGCTTTTCAACAATAAAATTTCTTCAGCATTTATGGCATTGTTACTTCAGCCTTTATTTTTCTAAGTAATTACTAATTTACTAGATATTTGAATCTGTGCTGTTTATGAAATATACTATGTGATGACAATATCCTATAGACTATATATAACCAAACTATTACATACCAAAAAAATTGCCAGAGACATTTTAAAAACATATATTTTTTGTTTTTAATTCTTGCTGCTTTTATTTAGTGATTCGCAATTGGCCAATATTAAGTACTTAAGTAGTTGAATAAATAAACATTTGGAAACAATGTTGAATAAATAAACATTTGGAAATTTGGAAACCTTTATCCAATCTTTGAATTCATAGCATTTCCCAATTGAAAATTTAACACTGAAAATGCTATTTTACTTTTTTCATAACATTGTTGCTATATTAGCCAGTAATAGTTATCCTCAGAAAGATTCCAAACTGGATTCATATACCCACTGGAAGCCAAACACGGAAAATAATCCCAGAGTTGTATTATCAACTGCTATACTTCAGTTTTACATAAACAGGACATAAGAGATCTGAGAAGTGCATCAGTAATGTAATGCATACCAGTAACATCTTGAATGAGGACACTGTAGAGTGATTTTTAAGATGGAATTGGGAAAATTAGGTCATTCAGTTCATCCAAACAGGATGAGCCTGATTCAAGCTGATCAAGTCAGATCCCCAGACTTCTGTTATCTGACTTACTTCTTCATTTTTTGGGCTCAAAAATACGTAGAAACTGAGTAACATCACCTCTTAAACTGGTAGTACAGTTTTCAAAGGAAATACTGATTTAAGTAAAGTTATATACAGAAATTACTGTTAGAAGGACTCTCAAGATAGCCCTACAAAAATATTTACAAACTTGAATCACTTTTCCATCTGAGATATAGTGCCATTCAGTTTCTTGGAATTACCCACATTCTTTCATTTTATCAGTTGTTTGCAGAATCAAGTCTTGACTTTATCTTTTTAAGTCTAGTAGACACTGTATTGTAAGTGTTAATATTTAGTGTTTTCCTGGGCTTTAAATTCTGTATTACAGAAGGCAGCAGAGGGCGCTGAGCCCACCGGCACAGCCCGATATGGATCTCTTCCTCCCTGCTCTGGATTTCCCCGTCCAGGGATTTCCCACTCCACCTCGAGAAGAGCCTTTATAAAGAGCACGCTGGAGCTATTCTAATAAGCTGTTGCAGAGCAGCAGGATCTCGCTGTGCTGCTTCACAGAAAATAAAAAGCAAGGCTTTAGAATTTACTGTCTTTACCTAGTAACAGCAATTACAAATGCTAAAAAAGATGGGAAGAGCAAGCCAAGCTGTGCTAATAATTTTGTATATGTTAATGACTGGTAAGTTGGGGGAGTTGTTTGCTTTATTTTTTTTTTAATTTTTTTAACTGTAAACTGACCTACAATTGACTGTTTGATCTTTATTTCTCTTTGTTCCAGTTGCTTTTACATTCCAGTGAATACAACTGTCAGTTAAGTAGTTCTGTCAAAATGTCAGGAAAGTTTTTTTTTGACATTTACTTTGAGCTTTTCTGTGCTCTGCAGTGACACAGTCATTTTCTTATTGAGTTTGCTAAAAGGCAGTCTAGGAGACAACTGCAGTGTATCTCTGCGTGTTTGATTTTTAGTGTCATCTCTGACACTATCAGTCAAGTTTGGTAATAAATGTCCTGTTGCAAGTGATTCTGCAGTTGTTCTTGCTATCTTGCTGAGCACCCCTCCCCTCAAATGTTACAAAGTTTTAGGACTAGGTCCACCTGACAAAAAAAGTATATTGTGCCAATGCATTTATTTTCACTGACAGTATTCGGTTTATGCCATTTTATACATGGGAATTGTCTGTTGGAGTCATCTCAGTCTGTATTATCTTTGACAAAAATAGCAGTTTGTGGGGTATTTTGGAGATGTAAACCACTGTATGAGCTTTATTAGTTTAACCTCCGCACAACTGTAAAGTAAACTTGCAAAGTAATGACCTTGTGTCATAGTAGAACATGAGAAGAAATGGGAAGATAAATGTTGAGAATGCTACTGAGTGTATGAATGTTCTCCCTTATTGTAGTTAAAGCTTTTGAAATGGAGATTATACCTGCTAACAGAATTGTTGCACAGATTGGAGACACGCTCATACTCACATGCAATACTACGGGCTGTGCATCACCAAGTTTTTCCTGGAGAACCCAGATGGACAACCCCCTTGGAGGAACAGTGAACAACCACAGGACATACTCTACCTTGACTATGAATCCAGTTAGCATTGTGAATTCTCATGATTATCTGTGTACTGTCTTCTGTGGTAAACAAGAGAAAAAAGAGAAGAGTATCAAAGTTGAACTTTACTGTAAGTAAACATTTAATATTCTCTTTAAGTAGTACATGTTTGTAAAAAACAATTGTTGCTAGATATCGTAGTTGGTAGTTAACTGATAATGCTGGGATAATGTGTCTGCTATAGCTCAGCATATGTTTCCTTGTAAGATTCCTTTGTCTGTTTGGAACTCTTTCGTACCCCATTTCTGCTTAGCTTTCTGCACTGAAGATAGTACTTACTGGTCTAATTTATTCTTAGTCTTGGTAATACTTGAAAGCCAAGACATAGACTCCCCAAAATGTTCGTAGAACTGGAAAAAAAAACCTCAACCAATGTGATTGAGGGGAATGTATTTGGGAAACCTGTGAGTGCAGAGCACCTGATCAAAGCCTTTGCAGTTTGCAAGGGAATGACTCATATGTCTAAACTTACCAGCACAGAAAACAGGATAACACCAGTGTATGGATTGTGCTGGATGCCTGTATTTAGGCAGCTGTAGCACTAACCAGGTGTCTTTCTGGAGTCTATTAGATCATTTGTGATCATACTTCAACAATTGTACAAATAGAATTATTTTTAGTGTATGAACTGCTTATAAAAAGACCTGTATATCTTCATATCTATCAAGATATTTCTTGTAATAAAGTTGAAATGTTCTGAAAGCCTCTAAACTCAAGATATTTGATGTCTGGATCTTATGATGACCCTAGAGCTCATCTCTGCTAAACTAAAGGAATGGATTTTATTCTTTTAGCTTTCCCGAGTGACCCTATCATTGAGATCAGCCCATCATCCTTTGTTGATGGAAAACAAGTCACCGTCACCTGTAAAATTCCTGATGTGTATCCTTCTGGTTACCTGGAAGTAATCCTAAAGAAAGACAAAAGTATTCTTCATGAGAAAAATTTTTATGATGATGACAGCACAAATGCAGAGACTAAAACTGTGAAATATTCATTTAATCCCGTGGCTGAAGATATGGGGAAAGAGATTACTTGTGTGGCCAAGTTGCCAATTGCTAATATGGACTTTGAGCCCAAAGAAAGAATAACTTCTCAGAAACTGAATGCAAACTGTAAGTATTTTTATTCTAGGGCTTTCATACCCAATACTGTTTAATGTTAAATTTCATGGAATGAGTTTACAAAGCATTTCCTGTAAATTATTTATAATTTGCGCTTCTTATCTACATTATTTATGTAGATAATCTACTGCATTTGATTGATTCAATAACAGTCATTGAGTCATTAAATACCCGCTGTTGTTCATGACAGAAGTTAGGCAATGCTTTAGTAACTCCTCTCTCACACTCTTACCTTGGGCACTGGTGCTCAGTCAGAAAGTAAAGACCAGAAGAAAAATGTCAGCATGCAGATAAACAATTGCTTTTAAAATTGCCATTGTATGCTTAGCAGTTCCAAGTTTATAATCCTAAACAATGGGGAGACAAATGTAAGAGTGAAAAAAATAAATTTGTACACATTTTGCCTAGCTTAGCTTTCAAAGCTGCAAGCTAAATGTCTTATCAAGCCTGGAAAAAATGTTGTGCTGTGTTACTGGAATGCACATTATTCATTTTTTCTTGGTATTGTGTGAAATGTACCTCTAGAGAAGCTAGAAAAGCTAGTTTTAAAGATGTGCATGTCATTCTTCATTAACTTACTGACCTTATCTCTCTTTTGTTCTCTTCTAGTTGGTCCACAAAATACTGTCATTACTGTATCTCCAGAAAACCCGCCAATGGAAGGAAACCCTCTAAGCCTCACTTGTATGACTGAGAGTAATCCACCACCACAAATAGTTTGGAGAAAACGTCTGGCTGATGAAAGCACTAAGCATCTGATAGAAAACAATGTCCTTTCTATTCCCCATGCCCATTTCAATGATTCAGGACTGTACATCTGTGAAGTAATTAATCTGGTTACTAATAAAACAGAGAAAGCAACTGTGGACATTGTTATACAAGGTACAAGTCTGCTTGAATTTAACTTGTATTTTCCAGTACCCAATTGGCAGCTGCCAGTTGGGTTGGAGGATGCAGAAACACTGAAAATTAGGAAATTTTGGGGCCTTCTTGTTATGTATTCAGGATTTACCTTTCAATTTACTGCTGCACTTCATGGGCTGCACTTCTTATTTCTATGCTTCATTTTTAGCCAATTCTCTCTGTACTTCTATTGTACATACATACCTTTATATTTTTGCTGCAATGAAACACAAAGTGATAAAAGAATCTGAGAAGCTGGTGGTGTGGGGCAGGTAGCTTGAAATGCTAATGTGCGTAACAACTTTGCAGGGACATCACAGTCATCGTCTTTGAACTAGTAGGTTTAGTCTTTAATAGTAAATTTAGTCATTATTTAATAGTAAAGGTATTTGATATATCGTAATTATTATTGTTATTACTACTGTTTCAATAGAGCCAAAAGTCTCAGATGGAGCCTGGGACAAAACCCAAATGAACAGGTCGTTGGACGAGCAATTTCAGCTTTCTTAAACCCCTGTCCATCTTCAGTACTTTTGCTTTAGTATAACAGCCTTTTCTTTTGTCATGCAGGTGCTCCAAACATTCCAGAACTCTCCATTGAGCCTTCAACATGGGTTCAAGAGGGAGAAAATGTTTCCATACAATGTTCTGCTGAAAGTAACCCTCCTCCCAAGATTATTTTAAGGAGGAAAACTGACAGTGCAGACATGGGGCCATACAGTGAGGGGAGAATTCTCCTTCTTCCATCTGTGACGTTCCTAAATGGAGGAGACTATGAATGTGTAGCACAAAATAGGTTTGGGGAAAGGAAAAATGATATAACACTTAATGTGGAATGTAAGTATGTGCAATGTTTTCCCAATAATTTAAAAATAATTAATTAATTCTCCACTTACTTCAGTAATAAATATAACCATCAAGCTAAACAAAACCCTGTGAGTACAAAAATGTCAGCATAGTGCTCTGCTCTTCCCCAGAGAAAGGAGCAATGCTCATGAGCAAAACAAGGCATGAAATGTTTAATGTAATCACAGTCTTAAGTCAGGATCTGAATGAGCAATAAACTGGTCTACCTTCTCAACATTCTTGGTTAGAAGTACTTGGTTAGTATGTTTAGGCTATAGAGAGTTCATACAGAAGCTCTGATAATGTGTGCTTTACTTATTCTGGAAATGAAAAAGAAATAAACTTTGGGAGCCTGACAACCTGGCATCCAGTAGGACATGTTGGATCCACCTCTAAATAATCCAACAATGGTTAACTACAAGATTCTTTCTTTCAGATGGACCGAGGAATACAATGATCTCTGTTATCCCTGCTGCTGCTGTTAAAGAAGGAGAAACTGTGACGATGAAATGTACTAGTTCTGGTAATCCGGCTCCAGTGATATCTTGGAAGAAAAAGAAGGCCACTGGGGAATTTGAGAAAACTTTTAAAGGTGCAACTTTAACTATACAGAGCGTAAAAAGTCAAGATCTGGGGCTTTATGAATGTGAAGCTTATAACCCATTTGGCGGAGAATTAAAATCTGTGACATTACTTTTTCAAGGTTAGTAGAACAAGATGTAGCAGAAGTTTTTTGTGTTATATATTTTAAGTCCAGATCTCATTCTGTGAAGGGCAGGAGAATTCTGTCTTTGATGTCAATGGAGTTAAAAGGTGCACCTAATGTCATTAAGTCATTTAGGAAACTTTAAACAATGAATGGTGAAATCTGTCTTCATACAGATAGCTTATGCAAAGTTATGTCAGTTGAGTTATCATCACTCCTTCCAATTGGCAAATGCATGCATGAGGCAAAGAAGGTATGCAGTGCCTGTATTTTCTTCCAAATAGGTCTCAGTGGAGGATCCAGATACCTGTGTGGAAAGGTTCAGAGAAAGTACATGCTGAAACTTTTCTGTGGAGGGACTGTATTACAGCCCCTTGGCTCTTCCTTAAGTTACAACTCGGCATCCTATTCTTGCAATCTGTATTTAAGCTATACCAAATGCTGATTCCTCAGCCTGCATGCAATGATAGCAAAGTTTTTTCAGTAGTAAGTGACTTCTCTGCTTTAACCCTGCTGCTTTTCTCGTCGTCTTTTTGTAGCTGCATCAAAAAATACGTGTTCAGTTTTCCCTTCAAGTGCAGTGATACAAGAAGAAAGTGTTACCATCTCTTGCACATCCGCAGATGTTACATCTGGTCAGGGTACTCTGTGAAAGAAAATAGAGGTCACAATCCTTGAAACAGTAGGTGGCAAATAAGCCACATACCATAGACAGGGCTCAGCTAAAGGATGAAGGAACAGAATGCATATCATTAATGAACTAGGGGAGCAGTCTCAGCACACAGTACTTTTATGTCACAGGTTAGTTAAATTGGCTACTGTAGAGAATTAATGCTAGTATTTGTTTTACACAGACATCTTCAATTCCGTTAGGAATGAACTGTCTTTAAAGAAACTGAGTTGCACACGTTACTGTCATAAGTGGTAGGATCTTAGTGCTAATGAAAACTTCTGTCCAAAACAGCAGATGCACAAAATAATTGCTGCTTCAAAATTTTTCATAGTTCCCCTTCCACCTTTGAAAACAGGACGTAAAATTGTGGAACCTAGTGAAAAAAATACTATTCTAGGACTCCTTCCTTTGACTTTTCTATTTCTCTTCTGTTGAAAGAGGACATTAACCTCTGGTTCTGTTGATCTGTGTCCTTTCATGAACTCAAAGGAATAAACAGTGGATTTAAAATAAGAAATTAAGAAAAGTCTTCATATAAGGTAAAAGATACGCAACATTCTCCATCAACTGATAAAATGTTTTTTTCTGTCAGCTGCCGTTGACTACGGTGTGTGATGGATAGCTAGTGACAGAGTAGTGTCTGGGGCTGTGTGCTTGAATATTGTAGTGAATCCATCAACTGGATCAGTACTTTGTGTGCACACACTGCTGATACCTCATGAGTTTTTGCTTCTGTTTGTTGCTAAATCCTACCTTGCATTTATTTTCTTTTCAGTTCCTCCCCAAAATATTACTGTGTTAGTATATCCATCAGAAAATGTTAAAGAAGGAGAAAATGTCACTATTACATGTAGCTCATACAGTAACCCACCATCACAGATGGTCCTGAAAAAAGTCCATCAGGAGAAAGAAATTATTCTGCCATCAGTGAATGGAACCTTTATACTCTACAATGTCACCAAAAATGATACAGGCAAATATTTGCTTGATGTTTTCAATGAGGTTGGAAACAACATCAAAGTGATTGAGATAGCTGTTGTAGGTAGGTAGATCTATTGCCTTAAACTTATTTTGCTTGTACTTTCTAATGAATTTTTTGTACAGGTGAGCACAAGTAGTTCATGGCTGATCCTTGCACAACAATACAGCAATTAACCTGAAAAAAAACCAAACCAAATTAAACCAAATAATAGAACAGCTGGTGAGAATAAGCTGTATTTAACCTCCTTTCAGTGTGAATATTATTGTCTCTCTTACCTGAGTTTGTGCAGTAGCTTTAAGGATAGGGCCAGAAGAAGGTGGATCCTGGCTGCATTTCTGTCCACATGTATGAACAGTGAGGCTAATCTAGAGAAAGTTCCGTTTCACAAAAAAAAAAATCTGAAGATTGGGCTTTTTAAACATGGTCTTCTCCTGACACATTGTTTCCAGGAGGTAGAAATGTCCCCAGATGTTTCCGAGGTAAAATACATGATATTCTTCTTGTATGCTTCGTGAACGCCATGGTTCTTCAGGAACTTAGTTGTAGATGATATCAGATGGGTTTGAACTTGCACAGCAAATTCAAGATCAAGATAGTGGCTAGAAGTTAAAGTGTGTAATATGGAGTTACTAAAGAAAAAAAAGCATAAAGAAAACATATTTAAATGTGCTTTGTGCTTGAAAACAGAAAGAGTGTTCCAAATGAAGATCATTAATAACACTGCTTTTACAGTAATACACATGTACCTGTTTCAATTGGTTTTTACACAACTTTTTTCTCCTTTTGTTTCCATTTTCAGGAAGATTGGAAAAACCAGATCAAATGATACCACTGATTATTGCATTTTCCAGTGTAGCAGCCGTAGCAGTACCTGTAGTTGCAATTTTGATCTACGTGTCAAGAAAAGCAAAAATAAATGGATCCTACAGTCTTGTAAAAGCACTCAGGCTGAAAGTGTGATCGCGTGAATATAAGTCTAAGTTCATAATAAGCAAAGTTATTTATTGTTGTGACTGGTTCTGCTCTTCAATAATACATGGTAACAAACAAGTGACTTAAGAACACTGCCATGTGATAGCAAATTGATTTTTTTTTCATGTTTTGAGAAGTATTTCAGTATTTAAATTAAAAGGATAGCTAGCCTCCTGTCCTAGAAATTGATAAATCACTTCTGTGTTCAAGCATGATGAACGAAATGTTTCTTGGAGAACTGCGTTTGTACATAGTGTATAATTTGTATTATAAATATGTTCAACTGAATATCAGTTTGTAAAATTGCAATCTTACTGCAACTGTACAGAGAAATGCTGTTAATTCAAAGATATAAATCAGCATTATTTGAGCTGATCAGATACAGAGTGAGTGTTTTAATATCATTTGTCTGGTAATGTCTGGTAATGTTTGGAAAATGTTATCTTTATTCCTATTGCCATAAACTGTATATCTTCAATGAAGTTACACAATCACTGGGCTATGCGTTTCTAATTAATTTAAATTAATTTAAGAGCTCAAGGCTCATTTGTGAAACACTTTATTTTAAATATTATTCAGAAATGTCTGGGATTACAGTCTAGTTAGTTTTAGGACAGCTGAGGCATTTTTGTAGGGTTTAATCATTCTCAAATCAATGTCAGAAATCTCTTATTTTGTGATGAGCCAAATCAGACCCTTCATTTAGAATATAAGCTGCCAATAAATATGCTTTACAGATTTCTACTGCAGAATAAAACTACAAGTGCGTTTCTTTGACTAGATCCCCCTAGTGATTCTTGCTTAAGATTATGTCAGAATACACATTTCTGTGGAAGGAACCAGTGAAAACTGTTATCCTTAGCAACAGCAGGATCACAGAATCATGGAATGGTAGGGGTTGGAAGGGACCTTTGGAGGTCATCTAGTCCAACCATCCTGCCAGAGCAGGTCCATTAAGAGCAGGTTGCACGGGATTGCGTCCGGGCGCGTTTTGAATGTCTCCAGAGACGGAGACTCCACAATCCTGTGCTCTGCCACCCTCAAATTTGAATGTCATTGGAAGCCCTAGCTGTGAAGGCACAAGCAAGGCAGGCAGCAACCTAAAGGCATAGGCAAGGCGGAGTGGCAAAATCTGTGTAGCTTCAGCAATGATGGTTGAGTTATTTCCTGAAAAAATGCCCTGCCCAAGCTGCTAACTGTGGAAAACTAAACCACTTACCTGACAGCTTTCCTTTTAATAAACAGAAGCCTGCATGCTTTCACCCTGGTTAGCACCTTTTTTTCACAGCACGATCTCTCCAGTGTTGGAAAAATGGCTGTGAAAATGGTGGGCTTTCTGTGCAGAGGCAAAGATGAGGGTGAAGGAGAGGTGGTTTGATGGTATTCTCCCTTACATCCTTCCTCCTGGCTCACAGTGCTGCTTTGACTCATCTGCTTGGTGATATTCAGCACTGAGGGCAAGGCTGTGAGAGATGCAGGCATGGTGGCTAGGATGTTGAAGTGCATCTAGTCTCAGAAGACCTGAGCCACGGTGTTAGGCACAGGAAAGTAGGCTTGGCTCCCCCAAATCTGCATACACAAGGTCAAGCAGAGGTATGTGAAAAGAGCTTCTTTACGTTGTACAAGTGGTAACAACTGCACCAGCGGCTGTACAAATGCAGATGTCTCTTGATAGCTAGCTGCAGGACAAGGCAGTAGCACAGGTCTCCCATGCCTTTCTCATAGCATGTTGAGCAGTGTTTTATGCACGGTAAATCAGTGTATGCAGGATCCTGTGCTTATCTACAGTTGGAAAGGGAGGCTTGGAAAGTGGGGGTGTAGCAGAAAAATGGGAAAGCAGTATGGACTTGGCTTGGAGGAATGTGAGCATGCAGTAGGAGGGTGAAGAAAAGATTGAAGGCAGAGGAGGAGGAGAGCTTTGACAGGCCCATGACATAAATTTCTTGGAGGTGGTGCTAGGCAGATTTATTCAGAATAATGTCAGGCCTGTCTCAGTGCTGTCTTGTGAACAAACCAGAAAGCATGATTTTTCCGCTGTGCAAAACTTTGGTGCACATACATGTGCACCTACTGGATATGGTTCTGGTTTCTGCATTGCAAGAAGGATAGTTAGAAAAGATACAGAGAAGGGGAACTGGAAAACAGGAAAAATGAAAGTGCCTGGGACTTTCCAGTTTGGAGAGAGAATTCTGAAGGAGTGGATGTGACTGACGTTTTCCAAATTGTGAAGGCAGTCGAAAGCAAACAACAGTGCAGAACTGCTGTTTGCAAAATCATGCAATGCCAAAACTGCAGGCCACACAAACTCAGGAGAGAGCAGTTTAGTGAAAATAATAGAAAGTGCTTCTTTACACAATGAATGGTGAACTACTGGAAGCTGATGCAGAAGGTTGTGGTGGATAATAGTAACAACAGGCTCAAAAGGGGAATGGAAAAAATAATGGACTAAAGTTCCGTAAACAAATACTAAAGAGAATAGGCAGAAATGTACTATATAATGTCCCTAATCCAATGGCCGTTGATGCAGAGCAATCCCCAGGGAATATGCTGCAGAAAGCGGCCAGGTTTGCATGCTCTCCTGAATTAGTGTCTCCCACTGCTGGAGACGTACTGAGGTAGCTGGATCATTGGCGAGACCCAGTAAGGTATGTCTTGTCGTCTTCTCTGAGTGGTCTTGGACCAGACCTAGTTGGAGAAGGGGCTTAGCAGTTCCTGCACTGTTTTTCACTCTCCCATAGTCCCTTCAAAGGAATAAAAAGAAGAAAGATGAGTAGGAGAGAAATAGGAGTAATATTGCAACAGCACTTTAGTGCTTATGTAGTCTTTCCTCGAAATTCCTCCATGGGTTCCCAGTATGCTCTGCCCTGTTGGTTTCACCAGTATTTGTGATACAGATGCAGACCTTAATGTCTACCTTTGCCCTCTCAGGGTCTCCATTAAGTATTGTCATGTAAGTCAATAGGAGTTGTTCTGTGGTTTCAACAGTTTTTTACCTAGAAACACTAAGTGGATAGATAGAGCTTGTAGTGCTTATTTTAGGAGAGGCTGTTCTTGTGTGGGCAGCAAGATTCCTCTCAAATGAAATAACAAAGCAGGACCTTGCCAGGGGATCTCCTCCCCTACTGCCTGATTCTCGGTATTTTCCAGGATGCTTAATAATTTGGGCAGAAGCTTGTCCCACGGAGGTTAAAAGTTCCCAGTCAAATAACTTCTCTTTTTATTGAAAATTACAGAGGAAATATTGTTTCTCCTTGCATTCTTTCTCATCAGGCAAAATGCAGAGCCTCTGCCCTGGCAAAATGGCATGAACAGCAGCTCCAGCCCAGCAGGCACTTTCAGAAGGGGTCAGAAGACACCTGGAGGTCTAGGTAAGAGTCCCTGCCACTGGCCCTGTCTTTATGACCAAGAAAATGGTCTGTAGAGCAACGGGCTGTGACAGGCCCGCTCAGGTTTTCTCTAGAAAGTCAGCTCGCAGTTCCATTTTCCTCTGCCTGGGCCTGTACTCAAGCACACCAGTTGCCCTTGTGTCCTCAGAGAGGGGGTTTATCCCAGCAGTACCATGGGGCAATGCTAAATGTTAATGCTAAACAAGCCTGGATTTTAAGAGGTGATTGCAAAATCACCTGCAGCTAGTTCAGGATGAGCTCTTCCTTAAAATGTAATGCTCAAACTGAAGAAAATACACTTTTTAACTTCTCCAAGAATCCTTTCAAATTATTTTGTGGGTATACTGAAGGGAACAGTTAATATATGCGGTGACAGAGGTGCTGTTATCTGCTGGAGATAACACTGGAGGCCTTATGTTTGCAGGGACAGGCTCACCCCGGCTTTGGGGACTAGCAGGGCCTGATCATGGTGGTTAAGGCTGAATGATGGCCTGGTGCCTCTGCCTGCAGCAGGCCCTTCAGCTTCATCGACTTGCTGCTGTGCTGGACCAAGCAACTTCTCTGAACAGACCATGTCCTCCTGTAAGGAATCTGATTTTGACTGGGAATTTCTCACAAATAGAGAATATATCATTGTCCTTAATAATTAGCTGTGCCCTTTCTGTTGTATATATGTGGCCTACTTCCTAGTCCAATTGGTCTAACCTTTCAGGCCTTTTTCCCCACAAGATAATTGTATCCTGTAATCAAGCCATCTCATTTCTTTGACAAACTAAGCAGATTGAGTTGTTGTAAGCCTGCCTTTCTCTATAAGGTATTTTCTATAGCAGTAAAGAATCATTGTGGTATTTTCTAAATCCCTTCCAGCACTTCAACGTATCCTTTAACATGTGGCAAAAGATCTGTATATGATCCTCTGGTGCTGTTTCTGCCAGAGACGGAGGTGAGTTTGCTTCTTTACTCCTCCTTTGTGCAGCTCTGCTTCCATAAACAGTCTTTTTCACATTTGCCATTTTTTTTAGTAAGAGAATCACTGCAGGGAATAAAGAATAAGTCAATTCCTTATTCCCATTACGGTTTCTCAGTCCTTTTTAGGAGACAGTCCCTCAGAGCTGTCCTTAGTGCGTTTTTGTTGAAACAGAAAGCTATGTGATATAAAGTCAAATGTCTCATGAGTCCAAATACCTACATAATGCCTACGTTCCATAAAGCCATGCTGACTGACACTAATTATGTTTTATGTTCTTTAATCCCTGTATAAGCTTTTCCTATTATTTAAAACTTAGTCATACCAACCAGTCTGAATTTTACCCAGACTTACCAATCAAAAACTGTCAGTTTTTTGATGCTACTCTGTAATCAGTTTGAAGGCCATTTCACATTTAAAAAAGAAAAGAGACAAGTAATTATATCAGGGAAACTACCTCTCTTGTTCTGCTGCCAGTTGTGCAGCATTTAGGCCTCACAATCTTTTGGGGGCCTCATGCTATATACATCCTGCCACCAAAGTGATGCATGTTATGCTAGCAGAAATACAGAAACACATGTAAAAAGAGTGATGTGCTTTGCTGTTAGCTACCAAGCATCTTAGTAGTTAAAATGTGTTGTTTCGAGTATCTGGGTAGCCACCAAGTAGCAAAGCAGGGAATCTCCTATCCCCTGTCTATCCTCCTGTCCTTCCCACCCAAGTAGTCCTTCTGATGCTGTTGAAGTACACAGAATGGCCAAATGTGTGTCTATGAGAGAAAGGGGTGTGGAGTTCCTCTTGCTTCCTGTATCCTTGGTTCCTATTGGTGATTCTGTTATGTTTAAGGTTTGTTGCAGATGAAACACGGGGGGAACAGTTTTTTGACAAGTTGAAAATTTACCCTAGCAAGGGTGCCTTTTGCTTTTTGCAATGTGAAGGAATGTAGGCATTTAAATCCTAAGATTTGTGCCAGGCTTAACTGAAGATTTATTTTTTTAAAAGGCAAATACGTATTTTATAAACAGACGTGACAGAGGGTCTGGGACTCTGTGCTTATGCGACTGCAAGTAGGACAGAAATAACTTTTTTTTTTTTTTTCATTGCAATAATGAAAACTATACCTGTATGTGTTAACTGAACCAAAGAAGAGCACATGAGGAAACCAGAATGACTTTACTGCTCTTTGCTGTGCTTAATTGTAAAAAACAAAATCCTGTGATCTAGTGCTGTTGATTTTTTCTCTTAAATATTTTACCTTTCCTTTCAATGAGAGGCAGATATGGGACATCTGCTCTCAGCAGTTGAAAGAAATGGTGCTATAGATAATGAATTGATTCATGTTCCCAACACAGATATCATGTCTTGGACACTCCCACCTATTTCAGGCTGTTATATTTTATGTTGTGCTTTCATATTTAAGGGCTCAGAGACTTACAGTGATGGAGACCATCAGTTCTAACAGTGATGTAACTTTAAGACACTGCTACCAGTTGAACCACAGAGCCTCTTTTCTTTGCCTAGTCAAACCTAGTAGATTAAACTAGGTTTTTACATTCCCATGCACTTGGTGTGCATGGAAGAAAAGAGCGCTACGTCCTTTTGCACTACTTCTAACATGCAGCTGAAGAGAGAATTTCAGAAAATGGTGTTGAGGTATTTGCTGGCATTCATCTTGACCTCCAGCTAATGGTCTTAAGCAACAAAATCTTAACACAAATGAGTCATTCACTTGTTTGTTTCCATATCAGAAATATGTATAAAATAAAGTTAAAACATGACTGCCTGCATTTTTTTAAATGACATCAAAAATGTATCTGCTATTGTTTGTATTGATTCCTTGTTCAACCAAAATTCATGAAGATTTTGTCCCTCCATACATACCCAAGCATCATAACAGTAAAGTGAGGCAACACAACATGATTCTTGACTGTTGAATAATTCATTCAGGCACTCTTATCTGAAAAGCATACAGAAATAAACATTTTAGGGAGGTAATTTAGGATTTGTAGATAAGCTCTGAGAAAAAGGAAAGAAAAATTCCTTCTCACAAACAAAATGCGATTCCAGCATTGTTGTTGAGTCTTTTGTTCTAGTTCACAGTCACAATGGCCTTGGTGCTGATAACAGAGCAGAGATGGAGCAGATAGCAAGATTTTGTTTGTATTGATGAAAGAACATCACTCCTTTTGAGAAATTGTGACAATGTTCGCCTAAACCATTCTTCCCAAGTCTGAGTTGAAGTAAAAAGCAAGAACAGGGCAGAACAGTGCTCTACTTGCTTTCTCTGCAAGCCAAAAAAGTAATGTATCTATAGAAACAGCTAAAGAAACATAGAATACAGGAGAATTTATTTCCACATCTAAAGGTAAATTCAAAGGCTGAAAATTCTGTGTTCAAAACCTAACTGTACTGAAATATCCTGTTTATAATATCTATAAACTTAGCAACAGAACCTTATTCTTCGTCTTGTTCCCTTTCTTTTGGTAATAAATATATGTAGTAGCAAGCAGTTGAAGAGCACGCTTTACCAGTAGCCTGCACATGTGCTTATTCCTTCTTCTTTCCTGTGTCTAGCTCACTGTTCATTCAATAGAATGAGGCTGCATAAACCTCCAAGATCTGCACTTCTTTGGACAAGAAAATCCACCTCCTAAGAGCTGTTGCGGTTTTTGTTAGCAAAGCCCTCTTGTTGGAGAGATGACTGACAGGTGAGTAGATACAAGTTATGGTCGAGGCACCTGTTTAGCCTTGGGCTTGATTGAGTAGAGAAACAAAAGTAAATACTGGGTGAGATAAATGCTGACTCACCCCTAATGTTTCTGCAGTCTTTTATGAGTGCAGACACATAATTTTGGAACCAGACCCAGGTAAGGTGCTAACAAGATAATTGTAGAAAGACCCAGTGAAGCAAAATGAGGTTCACTATGATGAGGTTCACAGCATAAGAATGACCACACTAGGTCAGACCAAGTTTTTTAATCAGCAGTAGGGAAAAGTTAATGCCTAAAAATGCTGTACAACCAACAAATATTTTAATATATTCTCCAAATGCACTTCCAGCCTCCAACAGTTTTGAAGCTCAGGAGTTTCCTGAGTCAGAGTTTGCTTTGCTGCATTTAGTAACTTGCAACGGCTTTGTTTTCTGTTTGTTTTGTCACTTGAAATTGTGTAAATTCTTAGCATGCACAATGTCCTTGTTTGCAAGGAATGATGTATTGCTTTGCTGAGTTTGGTATCTTGTGGTGGTATGTCTGGGAGCTTTTGAATTTTCTGGTTTATACCCTTTTGGTTTGTGTTCTTTTCAAAATGGAAGAAAGTGGGAGAAAGTTTGAGCAATCTGTCAACGCTGAGTTATCTAGATTTCTAGATAATGTCTGGGACACAAGAGAATGTAGTGTGAAGAATGCTGTGCAGCATTGCCACAAGCTGTCAGCAGCAGGAGGGAGGGATTTGGCAGTATTCCCACAAACTATAGCTGGAGGGCTGAATGTACAAAATCTATTAAGGAGTAATTCTGCGTACAATCTGTATTGCTGCTAATTACTGCACTTTACATAGTACAATTGAGCAATCAACTACTTCCACATTTGAAGAACTGTCACATAGATACTTAACATTAAAGTTATTATTTTTTAAAACAAATGTAAGCAGATTGGATAATTACTTTAAAAATTAGGTCAATGGTTTTCTGTAGAAAACTTAATTTTTTATTTTTGAGGAATGTAGTCATACTACTGATGTAAGATCTCTTGTAGAATATTGCTCCTTTGTGAGACCTAGGCCTTTCTGAGGAACTGACACCTAGGTAAAGGAGGATGGATTTGAAGTGGGGGAATGTTTTTTTTTTTGATTCATTGAAGAAGAGTCCCCTTGGGGATGTTGCAGAGCGATTGTTTGACTTTTCTTTTTTTTTTTTTTTCCCCCTGATATTGTTAGCTGTGCTACCCTGTTCCTTTTGTGGAATATACAATGAAACAGGGGATGACTGTGACAGTCATGTTCAGGGCTGGCACACCTCTTGTTTATTGCAAATGAAATGAAAGCCTTCACTATGCTTTCCACAGCAACCCTGGGAAAAAATTTTGAGGTAGGTTACTCGGATTCTAAGAGAGTCTAATGTTTTTGGTATGTAGAAGTCTTGACCAGAAAGTGTTAAAGAAAAATGGCTGATACATTGTTAAATGCCCTAAATTGTAAAATAAAAGTAATAATAAAACAGGGTGGAGAGTAGTAATAAAACAGGTGTGAGGTAAATATTGGGAACCTAACTGAATCATAAACCTTTATAAAAGATACATAGGTATTTACATAGGTATTGTTTCCACTGTTAATGACAAAAACTTAATTTCAAGGTAGCATTTTGTATGGTTTATCAAAATGAATATGTAAAACAATAGACCAACAGCATGAAGCACAGATGAGACAAGAGCTTCTTTTGTTGCAGCCTGTGAAGAGTGTGTAATCAGAGCTCAAGTCTATGACACTTGAAAAGAAGAACTGTCAGTTCTGAACCACAAGATTAACATCCCTGCCTGTACTTAAAAGATGAATACCTCTTTTTAGTTGTATCTTTCTTGCAGTTGAACTGTCAAGCACAGACATCTTGAAAGCATGTTTTTTGAGTGTCTTAAAAGAGCCATCCTTAGGCTCCTGGTTTTTTATGGAAAGAGACAGAAGTCTACAGTCTAGATAAAGGACTGTAGTACAGTGCATCCTCTAGATGCACTGAGATTATGATCCATACACAAGTTGTACAAAGAAGCACCTTAAATTTCATATAATATGCTTGATCAATTTAATTCTTGATAATTTGATTTCTTAACGTTAAAGAGGTTACAATTAGATTGAATTAAAAGCATGGACCTTTTTGAAAATGTACTGATGACAGGTTTAAAAGATGAAGTATGAGAAATTTTGTAGCAAACGTAGGCCTACTTTTCCATCTTATTTAATCTGTTTTGCAATTGGAAGTTTGTAATCTGCAGATATGTCTAAATACGGTTACCAGGTAAGAACTGCATCTTAGAAGGGAAAAGTGTATTTCTGGATGGATTGTAGTCTTTTAGTATCCCTCCACCCAGCAGGGATTAGAGGGAATACAGAGCCAGTATTTTCTCAGAGGTGTGCAATAAAAAGGCAAGGTGATATGGTCAAAAGATATGACAAGGGAAATTCCAACTGTATGTGAGAAAAAAAAAAAAGCATGGTGAAGCAGTTCATCACTCAAAACTGGTTGCTCAGCAGCTGCAGAACTTCTGTCCTTGAGGATTTTTGCAATTCAGCTGGAAAAGACTCTGATCAATGTAATCTAACTGTAAAGTTAGCCTTGCTTTGAGTGGGACATTGGACTTGATCATCTCCTGTGCTCATCCCCACCTAAATCTTTGTGCAACTATGCATGACAGAGGTTTCCACAAGATATCATTTCTTGTTTTGTAGGAGCAATGTAATTCCCATACAAGATCAAATGAAAAATATTCCAACAGTTCAGTACACTGGTCTTTGACAATAAGCAGCAACTGAAGTTTTGCAGGAGGATGTAAGAAAGACCTTTGAAGAAAGATTTAGGAATTACTGCTTTTACAGCAATGAGCTTTTTTTGATATCTGATATAGATTGCTTAAATGTAAGTCTGCAGGCCTGAGACTCAGGCTCTTTTCCTAACCAATAGTATTAGTCCTAAGTGTAAATGTCCAGTCATTTGCCTTTAAAATGCTGTCCCAAATTACTTCCTGTGGAAAAGAGTTGCATAGTTTAATTAGACACTTTGTGAAAAGTATTTCCTTTGATTGGTTTAAAATACTTCTCCTTTTTGTCTCCTCGTTTTTGAATTACAATGCAGGAAGACTAAAAGCTTGTCATCTACCATTTTTCTACTAATCGATATTGTGTGCAATTCTGTCTTACTCATATCTTTTCTAAATAAAAAGAAAATCATCAAAATAACACTTTCTTAAGTGTTTATATTTAGAAATACTTTTCACATGCCAATAATCTCTGTCATGCTCTCCAAAATTTCTAGCATGTCACTTTTCATAGGCAGTGATCAGTCTGGCACTTCCTATTCCAAATGAAGCTCCATCCTTTAGTTACCTTAAAGGAGTTATAATGTTTCTTGTACTATTCTGCATCTCATTCTTTGCAAATCCTAATATTTTGGGATATTGCTGTCTTAAACCAACGAAGTCTAGCTGATAGTATAAGATACTTCATAATTTCTAATCCCAATTGCCCATAGTAGGCCAAAAGGAGTGTCTGCTCCTTACTGAAAACTTGTTGCGACAGAGGGAAGACAAGAGCACTCAATATGAATGACCAGCAAGTTTCGTTTATTTAGACATACTACCATTCTTTTATGCACACTCATAATTAGCTCATACATATTGCAAAATGAGAGCTCATTATTGGTTAGTTCTAAAAAGACAGTTCCGCCCGAAATGCCTTTCTTACAGTTATATTTTTACCTTATCACAGACATTCTGTTGTTGGACCACAGCTGCCTTCAAGGCCAGAAGAACAACTTCAAGGCCTTGCAGTTATTGGGAGCTAGATAAGCTGAATACAGTGCTTATTAAGCTCTTGCTGGGCTAGCCAGTCTCCCACAATAACTAATTTATCACACCCCGCCCTTTCATTTTTCTTTCTGCTGGATTAATTTTTGACTGGACCAGGTCCTGAACCTAAGTTGCTGTAGGGTCTTACTCGTATTTAGGCTAGTGCAGCCAAGCTAGTGGTGGTGATCATCAGCACGATGACAGAGCCATCTATCTCACACTTGCACCAATTGAAAGTGTCTGTGAAACCAGTTACTTCTAATAGCTAACTTTTTTTTAACCATAGATGCATACTCAGCAGAGACCTTTACTGAATATAGAACAGTGATTGTTAATTGCCTACTTAGTAACATGTGCAATAAAATTATAGTGGAAATTACACTGGGCAGTGTGCCCAGGTGGCCAAGAGGGCCAATGGCATTCTGGCCTGTATCAGGAATAGCGTGGCCAGCAGGAGTAGGGGAGTCATCGTGCCTCTGTACTCGGCACTGGTGAGGCCTCACCTTGAGTGCTGTGTTCAGTTTTGGGCCCCTCACTACAGGAAAGACATTGAAGTGCTGGAGCGTGTCCAGAGGAGAGCCACCAAGCTGGTGAGGGGTCTGGAGAACAAGTCCTATGAGGAGAGGCTGAGGGAACCGGGCATGTTTAGTTTGGAGAAGAGGAGGCTGAGGGGGGACCTCATTGCGCTCTACAACTACCTGAAAGGAGGGTGTAGAGAGGCGGGGGTTGGCCTCTTCTCCCAAAGGAATAATGACAGGACCAGAGGTAATGGTATGAAGCTGCAGCAGGGGAGATTCAGATTAGATATTAGGAAGAATTACTTTACTGAAAGAGTGGTCAGGCACTGGAACAGCCTGCCCAGGGAGGTGGTGGAGTCACCATCCCTGGAGGTATTTAAGAAACGTGTAGACGTGGCTCTTCAGGGCATGCTCTAGTGCCCAAGATTATTGGTTTGTGGAGGGGTGTAGTGTGTGGGGCTGTGGATGTGAGGTTTAGTTGGTGGGTGGTGGTTTTGGGTTTGTTGTTCTTGTGGTGGTTGTGGTGGGGTTTTTTGTTTGTTTGTTTTTTGTTTGTTTGTGGTTTTTTTCTTTTCTTTTTTTTTTTTTTT